GTCGTTAAATTAATTGGCAATTTCATATAAATATTATTGTAATCTTCAAAGTCTTTGATTGTTTTTGCATTTTGAGACTGTAGACTGAAGTCACTTTGAAACACAGGGTTTTATAAGGATGGTCGCTTTCCTTAAAAGTAAGGAATATGATACAATTTTTGAACTCTGTTTGCCTCCATGTCAGATCAGTGCACGTATAGGTGAATTGGACCCGAAGGGCTGTTTACAAGTGTACCTGAATTGTTTGTGAACTGAAGACCAGTGATAAATGACAAAGGTCCTCAGCATGCCAACAACAAAGTGATTGATTGTCATTCAGTTGAACACCTTGGGCTGTCAGCCCGAGAGAGATTAGCAAACCAGACCAGAAGACATAGAAGTAGACCTGCATTTAGCCAAAAACTTTGTCTCTACATTGATCAACTTTAAAACGGAATATAAACAATCTCGAGACACAAACCATGCCCTCCACCTCTTCAGAAACTTCCAGTTCCCTGGTCCCCAGTGCTTCAGTTTTACTTTGGACATGTAATCCGTATACATGTCCATGCCCCACAAGGACAGCTTATAGACCCTCAGTTTTCCGTCTCCAACAGATTCACCCAGACAACCTACCACCAAAACAAACCTCCACCTCGCTGAATTAGTCCTCACCCTCAATAACTTTCCTTCAATTCTTCTCACTTACTACAAATCCATTGGGTGGCCAGGGACACTCGCGAGGATCTATGCTCACCTGCCTCTTCCTCGGTTATGTCAAACAGTCCCTCTTCCGTACGTACACTGTTCCATAACTCTTCCACCGTTACATCAATGACTACATTGGTGTCACATCCTCCACCCAGACTGAATTGGAGCAGTTTACTGACTCCACTAACAACTTCAAACCTGCCCTCAAATTCACTTGGTCCATCTCAGACATCTCCCACCCCTTTCTTGACCTTTTTGCTTCCATTTCCGGCGATAGCTTGTGGACCATCATTTACTATAAACCTATAGACTCCAATACTTACCTGGAATAAACCTTCTCCCACCTGTATCCTGCAAAATCTCCATCCCGTTGTCCCAACTCCACCGTCTCCATTGCATCTGCTCTGATGAAGAGACGTTCGACTCCCAAGCATCCTGGATGCCCTCCTATTAAAATCAACATTCTTCTCCCTCTCTGTCATCCAGACAGCCCTGCAGCCGACTTCCTCCACTCCCCGCTCCACAGCTCCAACCCCACCCTCCAAATACAGTATAGATAGGGTCCTCCTGGTCCTCACTTTCCACCCCAACAGCCTCCACATCCAACTTAACATTCTCAAACACTTCCCTCAAGTCAACTTAGATCCCGCCACACAGAACATCTTCCACTCCTCACTATTCTCTGCTTTTCTCAAAGACACACCTTAGTTTGCGCCACGTTCCCCATCAACCACTCCACGTACCCTGCTACATTCCCCTGTAACTGCAGCCCGCACAACACCTCCCTCGCCTCCATCCAGGGTCCTAAACAGTCCTTGCAGTTGAGACAGAGTTTCAGCTGCATGTTTTCCAACCTAATCTTCTGCATCTGGTGTTCCCGATGTGGTCTACTCTACATCACTGAGACCAAAAATACAGTAGCCCCCCACTCCCCCTCCAACATATCTATCCTCAGCCTCCTCTAGTGTCTCAGTGAATCAGGTCACGAATTTGAGGAACAACACCTTATCAAGCGCCTGGGCACTCCACAGCCTGAAGGATTTAACACTGAGTTCCCTAATTTCAAAAAGGCTTCCCACACATCTCCCGGCTCCCTTTCCAGCCCCACCTCCTCCCTTTCTTTCTACTTACTCATCCTGCCTTCCAGCTACCAAACGGATTCATCCCTCCTATTGACAAATCAGGTCGTACCGACTACTGGTATCCAACTATCACCACCATACCATTGCCTCAACCCACTCTCCTCTGTCTTTCTCTACAGCTCCCCCTAACCCCACATCTGTCCTGAAGAAAAGTAATAACCGAAACATTGACTTCTCCTTTCCTCCTGATGGTGTCTGGCTTGCTGTGTTCTTCCAGTTCACCGTTGTCTCCTTTGGATTCCAGCAACTGCAGGGTTTTTTTTTGTTTAAAAGCAATTTTGACTTTGAATTAAAAATGTCAGAGACGTTCAATAAGTGACACAAATACCCTGCACCAATTCCAAACTGGAGAACTATATAGAAAAATGAACTTAGAGGAGAAACTATTCAATGAGCAAGAACCAATCTTGCAGCAGACACAGTCAGTATGTGTAGTTTTCCTTCTGTTTTCTCTTTGCCCATGCCATGAGTTTTTTTTTCCTTCAGTTTGCCTACGTCTGCGTAAGAAGCGAGATAGAATGTTGTTAGAAGGTGTTTTGACTTTTGAATTGTACAGTTTACTTCATTTTATTTTACTGTTTATGATTTGCTAGATTTGAATCAATTGTAATAAATTGTGACTCAGTTAAATGGAGAAACATTGTGTACTTTCTAAGAACATCAGGCAATTTGGGACTTTGCACATTTCTTTTTAAAACATTTACTGCTGTGATCATTACAGGAATAGACATGGGGGATTGGAGGTGTTGTTGATTTCCAGCATGCTATGTCATTGATTCATGATATTTTTGCATTACATCAGCCACAATGCACTTTGTATATCTTGTTCCCAGAACATTAATCTGACCTCTTCATGAACTGTAGGTGGCATCTTCACTGGTTTAGCAACATACTCACGAGTGATGTCCACATCATATAAAAGCATTAAAAAAAAACTCAAGTAGTTCCTTTTATACGAACTTGAATGCTCACATATGTTTGCGCTTTCTTTTAGAATGTAAGAGGCATCTATTAATCAGTGAATTTAAGCATTATTAGAAACAATGTCATTCTTCCCTTTTAAACATGGAACATTGTAATTACGTGCAAATTTGAACAGTCCCGCTCATGTGTTGAAATATACCATAAATCAATTGAACTACTTCAATGATCTGTACCAAAATGTAAATAAATATATATTGAAGGATAACTTTTCTTATTCAGAGCAGCTAGTTTTATTAATTCCACTTGAAAGGGCAGGAAACCGTTGCAAAACACTCAGTGAAAGGATATGTGACTATATTCTAAACACATAGCTAAGCAGAGAGTTGAGAAAATTCAGGATCCTTGAGCACCAGCATATAACTAAGGAGAGATGTGCAGCGAGAATAGTTGCATGTGAAATGATGATCACCTGGGGAAGCATTAGAGTCAATGCTTAACTACAGGCCAGTGGAAAACATGGAGGCTAATTAATTAAAATTTTGATTTGTGTATCATGGCCAAGACAAAGCGTCATGCAGCCAATGATGGCATTGAAATGGCATTACCCCCGAATACGATAAATTGACAAGCACATTTTTGCACGCAATTTGGATAAAACAGTAATTCGTGAATAATCAAGAGTTTAATGATGACAATGTGAGATGGAATACTTTTGTACAAACACTTGGGACAATTCACGTGCACTTGGAGAATGTAATGTTTTGTGGCATTTTGTAACAACCTGAAAGTATAAGATGATGTCTCCTTGTAATGCCTCATCCAAAAAAATGTAACCTGAAATGTACATTGTCCCTGCAGTACTGACACTAACAATGTTTTCAGGAAATTTTGGTGTCTGTAAAGGTGTATGAAACTTTGACCTTCTGCATCAAAAGCCAGACATCCACCCACTAACTTTGATTTGATATGCTATGAGGCGACGCCAAAACACGCATGGTAGATGCAGATTAGGGTATTTCATGGAAAGCAGTTGTGAAACCTTTAACTTTTTTTGTACAATTTTGCTGCTGTAATTGGTGACTGTATTTCTAGAGCAAGCAAACCTCAAAATCAAACTACGCTCGCTCATAAAACGAAATAAAGTACTTAAAATTTTAAAATCAGCATTATGCAACATTTTCATTCTTATGTTGGACCGCAAACCGCCTTCTAAACATATTGAGACTTTTTTCTCTCTATTGGCCTTTGCAGGTATATCTGTGTGTGGACATAACGCGTAAACAGGAAACCAAAAGCGATCATTTGCACTGTATTGCAATTTCCATGCAGCTATTTTTAAAAGTGACAAATAATTTCAAAAGTTAGTATCTCCTGAATGAAATTCACAAAAGCACATAGTTATTGTGAAGCTGACAGCAACAACCTCAACAACTGAAAATGAATATCTTCACTCTATGTGCGGTGGCCCATCTTTTTTCAGGTTCGATTTTCATTCTCCCATCGTATATTGCTGGCAAATTGGGTGAAGAGAATATTGATGTTTAACATTTTACAATATTGAAGAACTAAATTATCAAGGACAATCAAAATGGAACAAATTTCTACTGATCCTGAGCAATAATGGGAAAACATGGTCTGTCGTGTTATTGGCAACTGGACAGTTCTTTGCTCATAATTGCCACCCCGAAATAACGAAAACTGCTTATCTCAATTTAATGTCAGGGTCTTTTGTGGTCTTATCCTTTGAGCGGGTTTGTCTGCTGTGTTTCTTAGATTAAATGTAAACGGTCATTCTTCATTTAACTTTCTTTTTCCATTCTTTCTTTTTTTTATTTATTTTCATTTATCTTCCTTCCTTCCTTTCTTCCTTTCTCTCTTTCTTTCCTTTTTTCTTTCTCCTTTTCTGTCTCTCACCATGTTGAAGAATCTCACAGTATGACCGGTAATCTTTGACGGTGCTTCCCTCAGTTTACAGCTGGATGCTGCTATAGTTATTGTTTTTATTTTCTGTGTCTTTTCAGAGTTCGTATGATATGTGTTTCTTTTTTCTCAGTTATTGCCTCCCAGACAGTCTTCCCGCAGACCCCACCAATCCAGAGTGATTCTGTTGGAAGTACCATTAAACTGCGTTGCCACACAGGTTGGCTTGCGAGCGGAGCTGTTCTCTGGTACAAACAGCATCTGCGAGAACATCTACAGTTCGTTTATACTGTGAGAAATAACTTCCCCAAACAACAAAGATATTCAGGAGAAATTAATAACGAAGCATCTATTTATTCTCTTGTGATTGAGAATGCTCAAAGGAATGACTCAGGTCTGTATTACTGTGCAGCTAGAAAATCTTATGGAACGCCCCTCGTTTTTGGAAATGGCTCGAAATTGCTCATAGCGGGTAAGAAATAAAACCCAATCTGATAGTCTAGCATAGACCCACGAATAATAGTCGAATATTAATTTTAACATTCCTCCCAATCTCATCAGGTCCATCAAACACACTGATGTTATCCCCACCAAGGAATGACATTTTTCAGATGGAAGTTGTCCCATTGATTTGCTTAGTTAAAAATGTCAAATCCAAAACGCTCGACATCCATTGGAATACTTCCACATGGAATGCTGTGGTTTGGATGGTTACATGGACAATGGACGCCACTGGGGCATACAGCATCATGAGCCATATAAGAGTCCCAATAGAAGTTTGGAAGCATGGTGTTGTACATGGTTGCTCAGCTCAAAACAACTCGAAGGAAATTCTTACCAGTGAAAGTGTTTCACAAAAGAAAGGTAACTATTGAATGTCACTTTACTTTTTGTCATAATGCCCATGTGTATTATTAGCAATATAAAACGTTATATTCCAAAAGTTTCCTTGCTTGTGTTCAGGTTTAATTATCTTACAGTTTATGACTTTCATGCTGCTCATGGTTCTGATGTTGTATTTTCTACATCATTGACCCCATCTTTTGCACTTTTAAATTTTGTTGAATGGGATTCGGACATGCAATTTTCATTTTGTGACTTTCGTCTTACTGCGTCTCAATACTATTTGTGTTTCAAGGAATTTGTAACTCATTAAAGGATTATTTAGCTCAGTAGGTAAATGTAGATTTTCCCATATCCCTCCCAAACTTAATAAACGTAATCAATATGTATATCTTCATATCCCTTTCCCCTGAATTTTGTCAAGGAATTATTACGCTAGCATTCCTTCAACCATAAACTGTCTAAATACAGCACATCCCAGATCATCTTTTTGATCGTGGTTTCAATATGTATAGCTTAACGGAACACAAAAGTTCACCGCAAATTCCAAATGAACGTATTGGTGAAACTATTATCATTGTAGCTATTAGATTAGTTTTGCCTCAGTATTGGAAAATTCTTATCTAATTCTGTTTGATTAAAGCCTTAAAGTCTCTGCCAGACCAACACTTTTCCTTTCAAAAGCAAGAAGTTTATGTTTTCACAATCTTTTCTGAGTGACGCACCATTATATTCCAGGATCATCCTCAAAAATTGTTATCTTACTTTCCGCAGGATATATCAATCTTTTGCAAAACTAAGTACAGAGACATCCATGGTATTCCAATTTTTATGACATCAATGTTAATTCGGGAGACTCCACTTCCTTTAATTGCAATGCTGTCCTTCATATAATGAATTTTTTTCTTTGACATTATTTGACCTTAATGTTCACATCAATGCGAGTGACTTTTCTTGCAGTCATTTGTTAATATATACAGGCAAATCAACTTTATTGCTATTCACTTGGATGAGGTAGTTCAAGGCTTAATGCAAGCTCCTTCATATGCCTAAACAAAAATGGAATGAGAAATGAGGGGAAAAAAAATGCTAAGTGGCCATAGCCCAGTAAGCCTGTAGTGAATGCTGGAAAATGCTTATTAATTCTAAACTAGAACAAAGAACAATACAGCGCCAAAATAGGTCCTGCGTCCCTCCAAGCCTACACTGACACAGATTGCCTGTCCCTACTAAAACTGTCTTCAATTACAAGATCCTAATTTCTCTGCCCATTCAAGTATTCGTCCAGGTGATTTTTTTTTTTGTCAAGCTACTATTGTGTCTGGCAGTGCGTTCCATGCACTGACTACCCTTTGTGTGAAAAACCTGCCTGGCACACGAATTTTAAACTTCAACACCGCACCATCCCCCACGAACCTTGAGGCCGTGTCCTCTAGTAGTGTGTCCTCTAGTAATCTTATAAACTTCTATCAGGTCGCCCTTCAACCTCCCGCATTCCACTGAAAACAAGCACAGTCTATATAATCTTACTTCATAGGTAACATACCCTATTCCAGGCAACATACTGGTAAATCGTTTCTGTAAACCTCCCCACAGCCGCCCTCCCCAGGCTTCCTTCTGGTAGTGTGGTGACCAAAACTGTAATCAATATTCCAAGTGTGGCCAAACTAAAGTACTATAAAGATGGACACTACTTGTCTATCTTTTGCCTCAATTCCCCGTCCAATAAGGGCAATCATACCATAAGCATTTTTACGATCCTGTCTATCTGTTCTGCCATCTGTGATCATAGAAAATAGAACAGTACAGCACAGTACAGGCCCTTCGGCCCACGATGTTGTGCCAAACTTTCACCCGAAACCTAAGGTCTATCCAACCTCCACCGCTACCTTATACTATCATCCATAGGCCTATCTAATAGCTGCTTAAATGCCCCTAATGAGGCCGACTCCACTACACTCTCCGGCAATGCATTCCACGCCCCTACCACTCTCTGAGTAAAGAGCCTACCTTTGACGTCTCCCCGATATCTACCTCCTTTCACTTTTAAACTATGTCCCCTCTAAAAGCTACCTCCATCCTAGGAAAAAGTCTCTGGCTGTCTACGCTATCTATACCTCTGATTATTTTGTACACCTCTATCAAGTCAAAATCAAGTCAGATCTGCGAACCTATACACCCAGATTCCTCTACATATCAATGTTACTAAGGGTTCTGCCATTCACTGCATAATTTTCAACTGTACTTGAATTCATCACCCCACGTTTATCTGAATTAAACTCTATCGGCCAATTTCTGCCCATGCCTCCAAATCATCTATATTCTGTTGTATCCTTTGACAATCCTCATCACTATCCGCAACTCCACAACCTTTTGTATCGCCCAAAAACTTAATAATTAGACCAGCCACGTTTTCTTCTAAATCATTTATGAAGACCAACAACCGCAGAGGCCCCTGCACTGACCCCTGTAGAACACCATTAGTCACAGCTCACCATTCAGAAAAGCATCCCTCCACTATTACACGCTGTCCACTATGACTAATCCAGTTCTGTATCCATCTTGCCAGCTACCCCTGATACCCTGTGACTTCACCTTTTGTATCATTCTTCCATGACGGGCCTTGTCGAAGGCTTTACTAAAGTCAATGTAGACAACATCAACAGCTTTTCCCTCAACAAACATCTTTGTCACCTCCACAAAAAACTCAAGTTAGCAAGGCACAACCTCCCTCACTCAAAAACATGCTGCCTATCGCTAATAAGTAGATTTGTTTCTAAATGTGTATAGATCTTCTCCATGTAAATCTTTACCAATAACTTGCCTACCACGGATGTGAGGCTTACAGATCTGTAATTTCCTGGAAGTTTTGAGAACTATAAATGAGAAGGTGCAGCTTGTTAAGGAGAACGAACACTAATTTGTGAAACTGAAGCCGTCTTCAATGTCGTGAACTTAGAACAGTACAGCACACGATATGTGCCTACATGATACCATTCCAACCTAATCCCATCTGCTGTATATTATCCGTATCCCATATGTGCCTGTCTAATTTTATCTTAAGTGTTGATATTGTCTGTCTCCGCTGGCGGATCATTCCAGTCATTTACCACCGTCTGTGAAAAAAAAAGTCACTTTGAACATCTTGAACATCTCCTTTAAACTTTCTCTTATTGACATTTCAAACAATTGTATAGGTAAAGTTTAAAGTAGACGATATTTGTTCGAAATTCCAGCAATCAATGATGTCTAGTCATGCAAGTCAGTATATACAAACAATAGGGTATGTTCTGAAAAAGATGCGAGGAATTATGCGAGAGAAGTTAAATCTGAGACTGAACGTATAGAATTGGGATAACTGCATATTGCTGCATTTGGAAAAAAATGTTGAGATTTACCACTCTTGGAGGCAAAGGGGAATTTGGATTTGACACGAATAGATACAGGCAACTGAGGATAAATTCTAGTAAAGGGATAAAATTAGGATTCATATAACAAGGAACCACGAGCACATAGAAAATAATAGAACGTCATTCTCTGCTCTACATGTCAAAGAAATGTTGTTGCATTCTCAAATCTTATTGCATTTGCATATGTTAGTCGTCCCTCTCTCTGACACATACGCACACACACATACACACACACCGTACACTCACGTGAGTGCTTTCCATCATTCTACATGTTTTTTTTTTTCACCGGGCTACCACATTACTCCCCATCCCCAAATATGTTTGTTGGTTTTGGTGTGTTTCTATTAGTTTTCTATAATTGGAAATTGATGCAGATTATATATTTTCAAGTAATCTCTTTTTTTTTCTTCAGAAGCACTACATCCTGTTTGTCTTTTCAAGATTTACGGGAGTTTGTTAGCGATAATCTTCCTCCTTCTTGTACTGACTATTATAACGGGATGGGGATTCAGGAATCGGCATTCAGGTATGGAATGTTTTTCCTGGTGGAAATCCATTGGGATCTATATCCCTGTCTTTGCATTATTGTGCTATGTAATTGCTGCACCTTAGTTAACCTGACGGAGATGATACTTTATGACTTATTAACTTTGTCTTTGTAGCAGGAAACTGGAAAACTGATGTGCGACCACGTGGGCAAACACAGGAGGTAAGTGCTTAATATATTTATTTCTCATGTTCTTTTTATTATTATTAATATTCATTCACAGAATACCAGAGGGCAGTTAAGTGTCAATTACATTGCCATAGGTTGGGAATCACAAGCAGGCTGTCAGTTATAGATGACAGTTTTCTTACCTAAAGGGCATTATCACTTGATTTAATTTGATTTATTATTTTCACTTGTACTGAGGTAGAGTGATTTGTTTTGTTTTTGAGTGCTCACCAGACAAATCGTACCTTTCATAAGTGCAGTAGCATAATAGAACAGGATTCAGAATATAGTGTTCCAGCGACAGAGAAGGTGCAGAGACAGATCAACTCTAAGATTTGAGAAGTCCGTTCTTAAGTCTGATAAAAGAGAAAAAGAAGGTTTGTTAAATCTGTTGGCACATGTTTCCAAACTTTTGCATATTCTGTCCACGGAAGCATATGGACGAGAGTGAAACCAGGGATTGGAGGGCTGTTTGAGTGTGTTAGCTATTTTCTCGAGGTAACAGGAAGTGGAAATGGAGTCAATGGAAAGAAGGATTGTTTTTGTGATGGTCTGCCTGTGTTCACAACTTGATGTAATTTCTTGTGTTCTTAGACGAAGCAGTTGCCATGCCAGGCTGCGAAAGATCTGGATAGAATGCTCTCAATGGTGCATTTATTCAAATTAATAGATGTCATAGTTGACATGCTGAATTTCCTTAGCCTTCTGGCGTGCTTTCTTGACTGAAGCAATGTGAATGGACCAGAATAGATTCCTGGTGAGGTTTATTCCCAGGAACTTGAAGCTGTCGATCACTTCCACCTCAACAACACTGATACAGACAAGTGCGTATCTTCCACTTCAATTCTTGAAGTGAAGCAAAGGGTGTTTCCTAACAATTGGAAATGGATGTTTGGTCATCATTAGACTCTTTATTCCATTTTTTTTTTTGGATTCACGTTAAACATTATACCATGGTAGATTTGAACTCAGTCAGGACATTACTTCGGTTTGCAAAGTAACAGCCCAGTGATAATATCACCAGGACACAACCCTTCCCCCCACCCCACCCCTCTCCTGGAAGTGCATGATTTCTTTTCTCTGGTTTATTTCAATGAACGTTTTAATGTTTTAGACTACAGCAACCTCACGACGCATTAAAAGTGAATAGTACAAAAGAGCCTTTTCTTTTAACCATCACTTCTTTTTCAATTCATTCAAGTGATGTGAGCATCGCTGGCTGAGTCAGCATTTAGCATATAAGAGAATGAAATAGAAATTTATTGCCACAAGTACCTTTATACGAAAAAAATACGTCAAAATTTTTTGCAAGTGTCCCCAACGCAGAACCTCCATCAGTGACAGAAGGCATAGATAGTAAGAAAAATGTAAAATTAGACAAAGTTCATTACAGTGTAGTTAACAGTTCCTGGGCTGGCCAGAAACCAATTAATGAATGATGGAATAGCCTGAAGTCGGAGCCTTGGTGAGACCACCATTCTGGCACAAGAACAGCACACTAAGCTGCTGGAGTACTGAGCCAGAAACCTCCGCCAAAGAAGACTGTAGGACCTTGACTGCCACTCCTGTATGAGACGCCTACTCCTGGATGAGGCTATCTGCCAGGCAATTCGAATAACTGGAAACCAAAGATCAAGACCACCTCCATAAGACGATGATACCTCCACGCCAGGACAAGACCGCCATGCTGGAACAAGACTGTTACTCCAGCAGACTGCTGCACTGTGCTGAGATCACCACTTCTCCTTCAGGCACCTAGGCCTACCTGCGGACCTAGAGCCTTGATCTAGCTTGCGAGTTGGGGCCAGGGAAGTCAGCCTGGAACCTGATGCTCTCTTGCTGGGAGATATCAGTCTGGGGTGGAGCCATGATTGGCTTGTCCTTCTGTTGTTGCCACTGCGCCTGCAACCAGAATCTTCACATTCATCTGCCATTCTCCAGATTTATAAAAACAGAAAACAAAGATAAAAGAGGGGAAGGAAAATAAAAGGAAAACAGCTAAAGCAAAAAAAAAGGGAAGGAGAAAGAAAGCTAACTCTGCTGAAGCCCACGTCGTTGAGAGAAACCCACACATCGTTAGGGAGAAAGTTCACCAATTCTAACTAGCAACACTGAAGATACAGTGATATATTTCCACGTATGAATGATTAGTGATATGAAGGGGAAATAGCAAGTAACAGCGTTTCCATGTTTCTGCTACCCGTTTCCTTCTAGATGGTAGCAGTTACGCGTTTGGAAGATGCAACATGAAGTGCTTTGGTGATTTTTTGTTGTAGCCCTTCTTTGTTGATAGAACACACTGTTGTTACTGAGCAGTGAGACACAGAATTGGAAGCTTGATGTGGTAAATGTTGAGAAGAACGCTGAGCTCAAGGAAGCATCTAGGAGCAGAGAGGATAGTCTCAGAACATGGGTTGCCCATTTCAGAACTAAATGAAGACGAATTTTGTTTTTGTTTTTTCCTGTGGTATGATATTTTGGAACACTTTGCCATATAAAGCTGTGGAGGCAGAGTCTGTTTGCATGTTTAGGGCTTAGAAAGATAAATTCTTAATCAGACGGGAAATTCAAGGTTATTGCAAAAACACGGAAATATGTATATCAGAGATATTAGGAACTGCCAATGCTGGAGAATCTGAGATAACAAGGTGAAGAAGGGTCCAGAGCCGAAATGTCAGCTTTCCTGCTCCTCTGATGCTGCTTGGCCTGTTGTGTTCATCCAGCTCGACACCTTGTTATGAATATCAGGAATGTCTGTTCAGCCAAATTCCTATTGACTGGCGCAGCACATTCCAGCATCTGAATGGCCTACTCTTATTCCTATTTATTATGGTCTTACACTCTTGTTTCTTTCGTAGAAACTGTTTGTATGTGGTTCTGGTGCCTATGATGTGGGATGGTTTGGCAGGATGGTGACGAGTTCTTTATGCATTGTTGGAACATTACCCATTTCAGCGCATTGGGAGTATTCCATCGCACTCTTAAATTGTGTCTTGTAGATAATGCACTGGCTTTGCTCAATAGGACGCGAATTACTGAATGTATTGATGCCTGGTTTATGACTTAATCTTTCAGCACAGTAAATATATGAGAAGTCCAGTTCATTTTCTTGTCATTTGAAATTCCCAGGATGATGATAGTGGGTGTTCAGTGATGGTGAAGGTATGAATCTCGAAGAGAGTTTTTTTTTCTTTCTGAAGATGATTAATGCCAGAAAATTGTGGCATGATTGTTACTTGTCAATTTTGCACCCAAGCATAGATATTATCTGAGATTTGTTACATGTGGTCATGGACAACATCAGTATCTGAGGAGTCACAAATATTGTGGAACCTTGTTATTACATTAGCAAATATTCTGACTTCTGACTTCATGATGGGCATAAAGTCATTGATGAAGAAGTTGAAGTCAGTTGGGCCAAGGATACAGCACTGTGAAACTCAGTCACAAATGTTAGGGTGACATGGTGGCTCATTGGTTAGCACTGCGGCCTACACATTCTCCCTGCGTCTGCGTGGGTTTCCTCCTGGGTGCTCTAGTTTCCATTCACGGTCTAAAAATGTGCATGTTACGGTGGATTGGCCGTGCTAATTTACCCATGGTGTCGAGGAACCTGTCGGTTAGGTGGATTATCCATGGAAAATGCAGGAATACAGGGATAGGGAGAGGGGTAGGTTTGGGTGCGATGCTCTTTGGAGCAGTGGTGTATACTCGATTGACAGAATAGCCTGCTTCCACACTGTAGGCATTCTACGTTCTGGAGTTGATGTGATTGATAAATAAGTTTAAATTATATGTAATCCAGGATAATTTATAAATTGGATCCAAAAGAAGAGACACAGACTGGTGATAGATGGTTGTTAATGTGACTGAATGTCCGTGCTCAATTGCATGACACAGCAATCAGTCTGGGTCCTTTCTTGTTTGTGATGTGTATATATAAACGATATAAATGAGAAGCCTTAGTGATTGCGGAACTGAAAATAACTTCATACACAAAAATTGGCCAGGTGGTTGACAGTGAGGAAGAATCAGTTAGGTTACAGGAGGATGTGAATGGATTGGTCAGAACAGCAGATCAGTGGCAGCTGGAATTTAACCCTGATAAATGTGAGCTGATATACTTTGGAAGGAGTAACAGAACAAGGGAGTACTCATTGAATGAGTACTCATTGAATCACACGCTGAAGCTTAGATGAACAGAAAGATGTAGGTGTGCTTCTCCACTGATCCCTGAACCTAGCATGATAGGTTACTACTGCAGTTATGAACTCATAAAGACACTTACGATTATCAGTCGTGGCATACATTATAAGAGCAGGCATATTTTTACAGCTGTGCTGAACCTTGTTTGTGGCACAGCTGGGGCATTGTGTTCTGGTTTTCGGAAGGATGCGAGGAGGTGTAGTTAGGATTCCCCAGGATGTTCCCTGGATTTGAAAATTTAGCTATAAAGAGACACTGGATTTTTGTTGTTGTTGTTGCTGTTTGCAGCACATGATTTGAGGGTAGACCTGACAGAGATATGCCTGATTAGGAGGGGTATAGGTAAGATGGATAGAAGGCAGACATTCTCCTGAGTTGAAGGATCAAAAGAAAAACGGTGCACTTTAATGTGAAAAGCAGGGAATTTAGAATGGATTTGAGGAGGGGTGTAAACAACACCCAAAGAACACTGGCTTAAGGACTGCTCTGCCTGGGGTGGGGGCTGGAGGTGGTGATGGATGCTGAGGCAGGTAAACGTATAAGCTTTAAAAGTACTTGGATGAACACTTTGAACGTAATCATATCCAAGTATGTGGGCCAAGTGGGACTAAAGAAGAACTAGTGGAGTTTTGACGGTACAGATTTGATAAGCTTAAAGGCCATTTCTTGTACTGCGCAATTCTATGATTTTATGAACAACACGACACACTTTTAGAGGTGGAAATCAGGAAACACCTCACTTCCATTTTTATAATATTTTCTGATGAAGGCCTTTTCTGATGAAGGGTCTAGGCCCGAAACGTCAGCCTCTCTGCTCCTATGATGCTGCTTGGCCTGCTGTGTTCATCCAGCCATGCACCTTGTTGTCTCGGATTCACGAGCATCTGCAGTTCCGATTATCTCTGATTACATTTTTATAATGTCGTCTTTCCATTGGAAATAGTTGTATACATACCGCTATACAGATTGGGTATGATTTGATTGATTAGTTGGTTAGAACTAAGGATTAAATACACAAATACTACCCTGGAGATTCTAAAATCACAATGCTCTCCATTTTCCTCCTTAGACTGTCTACGCTCACTTGACATTTATTGAAGATCCGAAGTTCTGATGGAAAAGAGAAGGAAGTATTTAGATGTATATGTGCATGAGCAGTATGTAACCAAGCCATTGTCAAAATCCCTGTGCTGGATCTGTCACCTTACGTGATACTTTTATTCAAGATGTCACCCCATTAATTTATATGCCACCATAAGCGTTTTAGGAATTGAGGCCTAGGTCCTGACCATCATCGGATAAAATTCTTTACTGTTGCACCATCCAAATCATTCAACCTATTTTTAAGCTTAAACTTACTGTCTCAACCACACTGGTATGTTGAATATGTTGATCAAATTTACCACATCACAACACAGCACAATTGCATGAATGACAATTAAGTACCTCTCCATCTTTTGTTCTCCCAAGACTTACAAACCAAAACTATAAAATGTTTCTTCATGCTATATATGTTTTCCATTTCTACCTGCAACAACGGATGGTTTCTCTGCACCATACCAACGACAACTGACTTCCTTTCCTTGTAATATAAGAGAAGAAGGAAAAGAGAAAACTAACTTTCTTCCCACCCCTGAACCCCATCCCGCTTGCTCCATCAGTGGAGAAAATCTCATCTGGCCTTGAATCCATTTCCCTTCTGGACACGAATGATATTCGAAACTATTGTGAATTAGTATGCCTTCTCAGTCACCCTTATATGTGTTCAACACTCCAAACTCAATTTATTATTTGGATGACTAGTGCTATACATAAGCATGAAGCTACCGCATGATTGTTGTCGATAATAGGGCGTTCGATTTTTAATTTTATACGTTACTTAATATTTGATTGTGTAATCTGGCATTTTAATCACTTTATCCAACTGACAGACTGCTACCAAACATCTGCTGTGACCCACGCCCACCTCTGTTCCTGCACATTCTTCAATTTTCTTCTATACTGTATTTACACACGCAGTTTCACGATCCAGAATAGTGTGCACCATTTCTGGATTTATGCAAACTTTTCAATTTCTATCACACAGGCAATCAATAACTTCTCCTATATGTCATTACACAAATTATCAATGTCAGCGTTCATTCCCATTATAGCTTCAATGTACATTCTTATTCCCTCTTAATTGAATCTAGAGAAAGTAACAAATATTTCTAAAAGCAATTAATGAAGCTTTAACCCTGAGGACCCCATTGACATTAAACATGAAGCAATTTAATTTGCAATGGTGATTTCTTTTTGAAAATAAGAAAATTTCAGATCCCAATTTCAACAGCCTCTTCAACTGAATCTTCGTCAACGATCTGTGTCCCAGTTTGAACTGTCCATGAGTTATAATTAAAATCACACAGACAACATCTCAAGAAAAAGCCTCATAGCAAATTTTCACTTCCTCATAACTTTTCATTAAGTTAAGCAAGAGTGAGTCGTTAACAAATTGATGCATATTTTTCCAGATTATTCCAACATTCCTAAAATAAAGTTTTAAGCTGCCCTCAAGAATTCATTTGAATAATATGCCCAAAATGGAAGTTGAACTAACTAGTTTTAAATAAGTCAAATGATTCCTTCTGAAGTACACAACTGTCATTTATGAAGTATCACTAAATTGACCCTTAACCATCACATAACAGTGTTTTAGTGACAACAGATGCACAGTAGATGGTACTGATACAGCGAAAAATTCTCCAGGACAGTTATTAATGGGTAATAAATTCCAGTACTCCCAGCATCTTCCCATAAACGAAGATATTTTAAAAGATCATTCGATATCATAATGTTCCTATTTTCTTTACTGCTTAGATATGATTGTGTGACTTCAAAAACTCACTGAAAAATGTGCAATGCAAATAATTTTTACAATAATTCAAATAAACATTTACAATTTGAGTCAAGCATAATTTGTAATGTCATGGGTTTGTTGTTCTAAATAAATATAACTATAATCTGAAAGCAATTGGTGTGCTGTTTTGAACAAATAGCAGTGCAAAATTATGGAACTGATGTGCATTGTTGTAAGTGAGGATAAAGATCAACACATCTACACAACACATGTACATCAGCAGTTAAATCAGCAGTTGATGTTCTAAATTGGAGAAAGATGAACTTTAATTGTATTCGACAGGAACTTTCAAAAGTTGATTGGGGAGGACTGTTTGCAGGTAAAGGGATGTCTGGCAAGTGGCGACATTCAAAATTGACAATAAGGCCAGCATGTTCCTGCTAGTCTGAATGGCAAGGCTGGAAGGAGTCGGGAATACTGGATGACAGGAGATATTGGTGTTTTGGTCAAGAAAAATAAGGAGGCATATGTCAGGAATCGGTAGCTAGGGTCAAATTAACCCCTTTACGGGTTAAAGGCTTTACAGGGTGTAAGAGTACATTTTAGTGGGAAATCAGAAAGTAAAAAGAAAAGAATATTAGATAGCTTTGTCAGATAAGTTAAAGGAGAATCTAAAGAAGTTCTTCAGTAAGAGGTTGTTGACTTGCTCACCGAACTGGCTTGTTTTTGTTTAGACGTTTCGTCACCATGCCAGGTGATATCATCAGTGGAGCCGCCAATGAAGCGATGTTATTCTACTCCGCTTGGAATTTTTACTGTCTGATCTGTTGTGGTGCCTACTGTCATTTCCGGTTTTGATCTGTACGGGTTTGTATATGGGTTGCAATTCTATATGTTTGTTGATTTAAGTGTGGGTGGAGAGCCATGCCACAAGGAATTCCTGTACGTGTTTATATTGGCCTGGGCCACTATGTTTACTTTGTCCCAGTTAAGTTGATGGCCTTCATTGTCTGAATGTACCAATATTAAAGGGAGTTTGTTGTGCCGTTTTGCTGCTAGCTGATGTTCATGTATTCTAATGGCTAGTTTCCTTCCTGTCTGTCTGATGTAATGTTTGTGGCAGTCGTTGCATGGTATTTTGTAAACCACGTTGGTTCTGCATGTTGTGGGAATTGGGTTTTTAATCCTTGTAAGTGTTTGTTGTAGAGTCGCTGTAAGCTTGTGGACCACCATGATTCCTGGTGATCTTAGGAGTCTTGTCAGTTCCGATATGTTCTTGGTTTAGGGCAATGTGGCCAGTGTGTTAGGTCATACTGAGTCCTCCTGTTATTATCTGTTTTGTAGGCATCTATGGATGAAGTTGTGGGGATATCCGTTTAAAGTAAGGATCTTGCATGAGTGTTTTTCCTCTTCCCGGCATATTTCTGGAGTGTTGCAGTATGTCCTGGCTCGTTTGAATAGTGTCCTAATGCAGCTTTGTTTGTGGGGGTTGGGGTGGTTGCTGTGGAAGTTGAGGATTTGATCTGAATAGTTTGTTTCTTTTTCTGTATACTGAGGTTTGGAACTCCCCGTTTGTCAATCGTTCTACTTTGACATACAGAAACGTAAGTTATTTGTTGTTTTCTGCTTCCCGAGTGAATTTGATCCCTGTGAATACGCTGTTGAAGAGGTAGTCGGTTGCTTCTAATTTGTTGCGTTTAATAATGACAAATTTGTCGTCTACTGGATCCACAGTATAGGTTGAATGTGGGGGAGGGTAGTTTGTTCTAGTCTTTGCATGACTGCTTCGTTGCCAAAACTTTAAAGTTCTACTGTATATTAAGGGCAAAAGTGTAATTAGGGAGCGAATAGGGATAGTCAATGTGGTTTTGTGCAGAGGAAATCGTGTCTCACAAATTTGATTGCATTTTTTGAAGAAATAACCAAGAAGATAGGTAAGGGTAATGCAGTAGACGTTGTCTACATGGACTTTAACAAGGTCTTCGATAAAGCAGAACATGGTAGACTGGTTAGGAAGGTTAGCTAACATGGAATTCAGGTGGAGCGAGAACAGCTGGATACAGAGGGTGCTAGTGCTGTGCTGGTTTTCAGAGTGGAGGGTTGTGACCAGCAACATGCCAAAAGGATCAGTGCTGGGTCAACTGTCGTTCATCATTTATGTGAATGATTTGAATGCAGATATACTCGATATTCTTCGTAAAATTGTGGATGGCAGAAGAATTGGTGCTATGGTGGACAGTGAAGAAAATTATCCAGTAGTACACCTGCATCTTGATCAAAAAGCCTGTGAGCGAAGTAATAGCACATGGAGTTTAAATCAAATAAAAGCAAGCTGTTGCATTTTGATAAGACAAACAAGGACAAATACCTACACAGTTAATGATCAGACACTGCAGACTGTTGCCGAACAGAGAGAACTAGGGAAGCAAATACAGAGATAGTAGGAACTGCCAATGCTGGAGAATCTGAGATAACAAGGTGTAGAGCTGGATGAACACAGCAGGCCAAGCAGCATCTTGACCTTGCTTGACCTGCTGTGTTCATCCAGCTGTACACCTCATTTAAGCAAATACAGAGTTCCTTGAAAGTGAGATCACAGGCAGGGTAGCGAAGAACGTTTTTAGCAAGCATGCATTCATCTGTTACGGCATTGAGGAAAGGATCTGGTACATCATAATACAGCTGTAAAAGACGTTGATTTAACGATACTATGGCTTTAAGAGGTATAAGTTGTACTGGACTTCTTTCTTTAAAGAGAGCTTTTATGACAGGGGTGCGAATTGTCTATTTGAATCCAATAAGGTGAACAGCTTGTGAGACATTGGGAATTTTGTTTTTACTTACGCCTGCCACTTGCCTTTAAAATTTAAGAAAAATGTTAGGGTATAGTCTATCTTTTTAGTGCACTTTGATGGGGTTTGGTCTGGTCCATACATTGGTAAGGCCGCATTAGGACTACTGTTTACAATTCTAGGCACTCTGCTATAGAAGGAATGTTATTCAAATGCAACAACAATGATGAACAAGATGTTACCAAAACTGGAAGGCTGGAGTTATAAGGAGATGCTGGATAGGCTATGACATTTTTTTTTCTCTGGAGGGTAGAAGGGTGAAGGGTGACCTTATAAAAATCAATAAAATCATGAGGTGCATAGATAAGGTAAATGGTCAATCTTTTCTCCGGAGTATAGCGGGGTCCAAAATTAATGGGCATAGATTTAAGGTGAAAGGGGAAATATATAAAAGATAACTGTGGGACTTTTTCTCCTCACACAGAGAGTGGTGCTTATATGGAATGAGCTGCCAGATGAAGTTGTCGAGGCAGGTGTAATTACGCTATTTAAAACACGTGGACACGCACATGGATAGGAAATGTTTCGATCGATATGAACCAAACACAGAAAATGGGATTAGTTCATTTTAAGGAAACCTGATCAACACGTAAAACTTGGGCTGAAGGGCCTATTTCAATGCTGTATATCTGTATAATTCTATGTCTCTATCTGCTTAAATCGCTACAGCACTGAGGGAC